GAAGTTGTTTGAGAAGGCCATAAGGCCAATGGCAGGGAACCTTAGCCCAAGCACAGGCCATGCAGGACCAGACATAGTCCTTGATGAAGGTCCTGAGGCCAGGCCAGGTGTACTCACACCAGATGAGTTCTAAAGTGTGGTTTTGGCCAAAGTGGCCAGACAGGGGGTGGTCATGCTTAAGCTGCAAGATCCTAAGTTGGAGATCATTTGAGTCTGGCACATAGATCCTTCCATCAAGCTGAAGGAAACCGGTGTCATCTAATGACCACCAGGGATCAGACATGTCAGACAGGCAGATTTGTGAGACCAGGTTGTCCAGTAGAGCAGTCAGGATATCATTATGGAGCTTTTCTATATCCATTAATGCAACTGCCTGTAAGACTGGGTACTCAAGGTAAGTGGCATGAAGGGAGACCACTAGTTGCTCCTGGGTGAAGACCAGTCTCAGGTTTTGCAGGTTCACTCAGGCATAGCTGCTATCCCCCTCTTTGGGGTAGATGTCCCATCATCTAGTTAGGGCATCAGGCTTAGCCCCAAGCTTACTGGGTCTGAATCTAATGATCATATTGAACTGAGAGAGGAATTCTGACCATTGAGCTTGGTGGCAGGTGAGTACTTTGGAGGTAGAGAAGTACTCAAGATTCTTGTGGTCAGTGACAATGTCAACCAGTGAGGCCAAGCCCTCAAGGTAATGGCACCAGGTCCAGAATGCTTCGGAAATAGCAAGCAATTCCTTATCATGGGTATCATAATTCAATTCCAGGGTGGTCAGAGTCCAGGAGTAGAAAGCAACCAGATGTATCTGGCCATCACCACAGGTGATAGATAGAATGCCAGCAATGGCATAGTCCAATGCATTGGTCTCAATGGTGATGGGGACCCCAGGGATGAAGTGGGTTAAAACCAGCACAGTGGTAAAGGCAGCCTTGAGGTTGTTGAATGACTGGTGGCACTCCTCAGAGAAGTTCCAAGGAGCACCCTTGCAGGTAAGCTGAGTCAATGGTATGACAATGTCTGAATAGTTAAAGATAAAATGGTGATAGAAGTTTGCAAAGCTGAGGAAAGACTGCATGTCCTTGACCTTGCAAGGCTCAGGCCAATTGCAGATGGTCTGGACTTTTTCCTTCAACATCATGAGGCTGCCAGGGGAGAGGTGGAAACTGAGGTATTCAACTGAGCACAAGTGGAACTCACATTTCTCTGGCTTCACATACAGGCCATGAAGCTGAAGCTGGTGGAGAACTTCATGGACATGCTGCTTGTGGGACTCCTTATCTCCAGAGTAGATCAGGATGTCATCGAGGTAGATGACTATGCAAACATCCAATGTGTCTGTGAAAATGGTATTCACAAAGCATTAGAAGGCAGCTGGGGCATTGGTGAGGCCAAAAGGCATTACTAACCACTCATAAGAACCATACCAAGTCTGAAATGCAGTCTTCCATTCATCACCTGGGGCAATCCAGATGAGATGGTAAGCATGCTGAAGATCAATCTTAGTGTAGATCTTGGCTTGGCTTGGTGAATCTAAGAGGTTGGAGATGAGTGGTAGTGGGTATTGGTCTTTCTTAGTGATTTTGTTCAGGCTGTGGAAGTCTACACAGAGCTGGAGGGAGCTGTCCTTCTTCTTAATGAAGAGGACTGGTGCAGCATAGGGGGAAGAGGCTGGGTGAATGAAACCAGTGGTGAGGTTCTCATTGATGAAAGTCTGGAGAGCTTGAAGCTTGACCTGGGACAGCAAGTAGATGGTGCCTAATGGTGGTGTTGTTCCTTCTTCGAGCTCTATTTTCAGGTCATACTCCCACTGTGGCAGGAGTGCTGAGGCCTTGGCCTTGCTGAATACATCAGTGAAGTTGTGGTACTCCTCCAGTACATTGGGTAAGGCTGGAGGAGGGGAAGCCAAGGCTGATCAGGCTTGAACTGAGTCTGAAGGGCAAAGCTGGAGTTGGAACTGGACAGACCCTTCTAGTTTGCAGGCATGCACAAAGGCAGCTGCATTGATTAGGGAAACAAGAAGGGCCTTCAGGGGGGTGTGAGCTGGAGGGTCAGAGACCAGTACAGATGGCACAAGGCTGGGTTGGTCACTAGGACCAGGGTCAGGAAGACCAGTGGAAACTGGGCTTACAGGGGGTGTTGACAGGGTTTGCATTCCTTGTGCAGGAGTCCAGAATGTTAGACTGCCCAATACCCAATCAATCAATGGATTGTAGTGGGTGAGCCAGTCACATCTGAGGACTATTTTACACTCAGAATCCAATGGGGCTAAGCACAGGGTTACTGGGGTGACATTGCCAGATGTGAAGTGGATATTGACATCTACTGCTTGGGTTATAGTAAAGGTGGATGTTCTATCAAAGAGCTGGAGATGGATTGGTGAGACCAAGTAAGGGGTAAAGGAATGTTGATTAGCAAAGTGATTATCTATGAAACAGTGAGTGGAACCAGAGTCCACTAGAGTATGAAGCCAAGGTAATTCTGGGTTTCTATAGTGATATATGGGGTCAAAGAGTTTGGACTGGAAAGAGTGGACATGTTGAGACAAGCCTCCAAGTTTGCACAACCAGAGTCAATGCAGCTCCCAGATTGTGCAGGGTCCCAGGAGTTGCTACCTATTTTTTTGTCTTGGGGGTAGATACCAAGCCCAAGGCCAGTGTGGCCTCAGTGGTGGCAGCAGCACAAGCCTTGGCTCTTCTGGCTTTCTTGGGGCACTTCTCAGTGAAGTGGCCAGGGCCTCTGCAGAACATGCAGAGGTTGCCCTCAATGTGATGCTTGTGTTCTTCTGAGGTGAGTTTCCCATCCTTCCCAAGTTTGCTAGGCTCAGGCTTGGATGAGTTGCTGTTATTATTGTTGCCTGGCTTTGATGGGGCCAGCTTGGGAGAAGATCCAGAGTTGTTGTTACTGCCAGTCCTGGCCTTATCTTGGCCAGTCTTGGCTTGATTGTTGTTGCCAGAGCCTCTGGACTTATTGTTGCTGGAGGTGGATGAGCCTTGATGCTTACTTGCCCATTGGACTTCTTCCTTGTGCTCCCAATAGCATACATCTATCTCTTGGGCAAGGTGGTGGAGCTCGTGAAGAGTCCAGGGTTTTCCAACCTGACAGACTTTGTCCTTAATCTGGTCTGGGAGTCTGGAATAGAAGTGATGGCATAGCACACCATCTTTGTAGCCCTGGACTTGCAAAGCAAGCCAGTTGAAGTCCACTACATATTTATTAATGCATTGACTATCCTTCATATGCAAATGGTCAAATTGACTCTCAGCATCAGTGACCAGATCATGGGGGCTGAAGGTGGTTTGTAGTTCTAGGACAAACTCCCTCCAGGAGTCCATCCAGAGAGGCTGGTCATTGGGGTCCTCAACCCTGAGTAGGTCCAGCTTGAACCATTCTAGGTCCATGCCTTTGAGGTAGGATTGTGCAAAAATGACTTTGGCATGGTCAGTCCTAAAAGCCCAGGGTCGGTCTTGGAAGTTTAGCTTGCACTGAATAAAGAAAGCATGAAGCTTCTTGGGGTCAGTCCCAGTGCCATCGAAAGTATTGGGCTTGCACAGCTTAGTCCTGCTTGAGGACTCAGGGCTAGTGCAGGCATTGTGAGCCAATAGTTTGATGGCCTTTGTGAGACTGTTGAAGACTGCAACTGTGGGTTTGGTGTCCAGATCTGGGAAGTCTGGTTCATCCTCCAGATCATTCTCATCTGGATTATCATCACTGGGCCCATCATCACTGGGACCATTGCGAGAGTCATCATCATCAGGGTTGTTATCATCATTGCCCAGCCCATCATTTCCCAGGTCATTCTCAGGGATGGGGGCAGTGGGACAATGTGGGGTAGGAGTATTGGATGTCTGGGCTGAAAAGCCCCTAAAAGGACTAACAGGATCTGGGGAGCACCTAGTGGTGCCCAAGGTAGCTAGTGCTGTCTTGTAGTGAGTTCCCCTGGCTGAAGTGGAGTCAGGGTTGGTGGCAGAATGGCCATGGGGAGGTTGGAAACAAGTCTTGATTGCCATGATATGTTAGACCCACACAAGTGGTGAGTCTGAAGTACTGTCAAGTTCAGGTTGTCTGGGTTGAGGCTGGACCAGAGACCGAAGCAGGTGCAAGGCCAAGGGGTCAGGATCAGGAGAAAGACAAGGATACAGAGGGGTGGACTGGTTGGACTTAGTGACTGAGATTACAGCACTATTCCCTTGCATGGGTTGCAGTCCAAGTCTGAGGCTGAGGATTACAGATAGAACTTATTTGACTTCAGACTGATGAATACAGGCCAAGTATCTAAGAGTTTATATACTAGAAGTAGCTATAGTATGGAGACTGGTAATGCTGGTCTTGCAAGGGTTGCTAAGATGATTGGTAAGACAAGTATTAGTAATGTATGACAAAGATGACAGAGACCAGGACAGGGTGGACCAGGGACAAGACTGGGCAGGGCTTAACTGAAATGACATGCACTACAAAGCAGTCTTCACTGTACTAGGACATCTGGGGATAAGCAATTGGTGAGGCCAAGTCCAGCCAGGGTCAAGACATGACTATGACAACTGGGGCCTTTCAACCTAATTTCATACTCCACAGCCATTGAGAAAACACAATGCAGCCTCTTCTAGTACAGGTCTGGCACTAGCTACACTTCCTACCATGCTGGACATGTTTCAGCATGTGGACCTTTCATTATACACTGTCCACAAGCATTGGATGATAGCCTGGGGCCTTTCCAACTAATTGCCTATTCCACAGCCATGTAGAAAATGCAATGCTGCCTTTCCCAGTGCTGGTCCAGTGGTGCCAGTAATGCATAGATACACTACAGTATCAACATTGGTCTTGTTCAGATTGATATCCAGCCACTTGGCTCATGATAACTATTGTGCTGGGATAGGCCACTTGCTATTCTGGCCTCCTGGGGTGTGATTATTGATGATCTCTTATCTTGTGGTCATCACATGTGTCAGCCACATTGCTATGTAATAACATTTGCACCTGATCCAACTCTACTCTGAATCACCATGGATGTCAGGACTGCTAATCTATCCTACCTCTCTATGATAATCCAATACATTGGTGTCTGATTTAGACAGTTGACATATGCTTTGCAGCAGGCAAACAACCCAAGCAATCAGCTGCTGGATGACTGGTATTGGGTGGAAACAGTGAGTTTGTCAAAATGGATGCTGGTTCACTGTGTCACACACTTGTCCACAGCATATATTGAAGCAGGCCCTGGCTACCTGCAACTCATATGGGACAATCATGAAGGTCCCATATGTTGCCAATGAACTGCTTTGGTGGATGGCCATACAAAATATGGGAGAGACTGCCCTGCTGGCACACATCATGGAGTTGAATGTGCTGCAGGTCAAAAGAGGAGAGGTGAGATGTATGATCCACACCAGTCCTATGCCACATACCTGGTGGACAAGGGACCCTACCCATCTGGATGGGTATGATCATCAGTCATTGGAGGAAGTTTTGCAGGAGGCCAAGGAATTCTTTGTTGGGGTTGAGGTGCATGGTGGTCATTTTCTGATCATTCCATTGAATCCATCCATGCCATAGGAAGGAAAAGACAGTCTCCCACTGCTGTGTGACATGAACTGGATGCCATCAGACAGCATTGGCCAGTTGATTGAAAGCTGTGATGAGATGATCCATCAGGAGGAGGAGATTTGCCAGCTCCATGGTGTGATGGAATTCTGCAGTGAATGGCTCACCCTTTTTGACAGGCTTGGACAAGTACAGGACCAGCTTGAGGACTTCTGAGTCAATTCAGTTACCCATCTGGGAGCCACCAATAAGTAGGGTGCTGTCCTCATTACACATCTCATTAGAATCTTGATATGTAATTTCCCCAGTTTCATACTATCTAGAGATATATGCACATTAATCTTCCAATTCATATCTTGAAGTACATCCTAGTGTTCTGGCTAAATCCCAATACATCTGGGACTGCCTAGCCATATAACATGTGAAGCCAGTATTGCCCACTGCCAATGCCTCCATATGCCAGCCACTCCAGAATTTCTCCTTGTGTAAGAAGAATTTCTGTGTCCACCCAGTCTCCAGTGTGAGTAACTCTAGCTCTTCTTCCCAGTGATCCCATAGCACTTTTGTATGCAGCTAGTTGACTTGATAAACTGTGATAATTCAGTCAGTATTTCACACAAGCCCAATTGATCTGCCCACATTCTGACATCCTGTCATTCATGGCAGAATCCTGGGGAAGGTCCACAGTCCAAAAGCAGGCCAGAGTGTCATTGTGATGACCTCTTGCATTTGGGTCTGCAATTGTGGCACTCACAGTCAGGTCTGCCCTATTCAATTCTTGGTATTTGCCAAGGATGTCCTCCCCAGCCCCCAGTGCAATGAGTTGCTTTCAGCACTGGCAATAGATGGCAGCATGCCAATGAACCATTGCCTCTGCATTGGATATCTGCCCCCATGCCTGGGTTGTCATTTTGTAGTTCCCTCCTTTCCAGACATCTGTATGAATTATCACAGCCTTGTCCACAAGGGCCAGACACAATTCATGCAATGCATCATTTGCCTGGCCCTGTCTCAGATGTATTTCCTGTTCCACAAGACTGCTGAGGCCAATGTCATGGAAATACTGTACTCTGATATATGATGGCAGTGGAACATTGCTGACCTTCTGGTGACCAGGATGATCAGGGAGGAACAGATCATCAGTTTTGTTGTTACTGTCCCCATCAAATGGGGCTATACTTCTGGGCCTTTGCCTGGGGTTAACTTGCCAGTCATTTCTGATGAACTGGGCTGCTCCATGCACTAGTGCATCAATCTGTGATTGCAACTGGTCTTGCCAGTGCGAAATCGACAACTGTTCTGCCTCTGTTGCCCTGGTGTCCATCTGTCATGTATCCATAGCAAGCACTATTTGAGCCTGCTCAACCTTTAATGCCCATGCAATCCAAGTAGCTGAACCACATGAGCTGCTGAATGAACAGTTGTTATGGATTAGGTCAATCTCAATGGCTTTCATGGTGGGTGCTACCATGATGTATGTAAGTTATGGGACAGATGATACAGTTGGCCCCCTTACCCTTCTCCAGCCAGACTTCATATATGTCCATGGCCTGTGGAGTATTCTGCCAGCATGACTGCACCACAAGTTCTTGTTCCACCCATAACTGATGCAAGCCATCTGGTACTTTGCTATCCAACTTGTTGAATTTATCTTGGATTGTTGCTAATGACTGCTTGGCAACCTTGAACTTCCATTTCAATGCTGATGCTATGTGCAAGTAATCAAGTGATGGTCAACCAGGTACTGTGATGACATATGTGTCCATATCATTTTGAGGAAGTTACTATCATTCATTTGGAAGTCCAGCAACTCCTGACAGTGTGCTGTTGCCATTCCCTGGGCTGATGGTGAGATTATGTTGAGAGAAGACCAGAGGGTCTCCATGATTTCACTGTCCACCTGTCCAGCACCCAGAATAAAGTTTGGAGCATATCTGGTGAAGCACTCTGTCTGATGGCCATGGACATGCCATAGTCCAATTCTGGGCTGAATCTGTAATCTGGAAGGCAGAGAGAGATATCTATTTTCCTCAGGCTGGTGGGCCAAGTTCTTGCTATACTGACAATTGATGTCATAAAAAGTTATGACTGGTTGCCAGGGGTCCAATCCATGGTGCATGGCATGGACCAGAGCATAATCCATATTGACCTGCCTGCTATATTGTTAGTCATGACCAGGGACTATGAATTGGTGTGTACTGCTCTCCATTCTGAAAGTCAACCATTGCATGAGGTACAAAACAGCCATGCCTCACACAGGCACATCCACCAATCCTGGTCAATTCCAACTTATTCCTTTGTGCATTTGCTTGATTAACAGCCTGGTGGTTATTGCAGTTGGATTTCTGCATGATGCGATCAGTCCAGTGCCTTTGGAGAGATCATGGGACACCAACTTCTATTTGATTTACAGTCCCAGTCAAATATTCCTTGTATGGAGCTGATGTGACCATGAAGCCATTTCCATCCATGAGCCAAACCTCTTCAGCAGCATTTTTGGGCAGCATATGCTTGGCCTTGAAGTTGCTGTCCATCACAAAGGTCCTAGCACACTGCCAGCTACACAAGTTAGGCTAACAATGCCTTTGCAATCATGAATAGAATATGGACTCAGAGAGATCAATATCCTGATCCAGTACATTGATCCCTGGCTGGGGACAGGCAGGGCAGAAGAGGACAAGTTCACTGGCCTGGGGATCAGGTGACTGTTGATGGAATCCCTGCCATTTCAACAGCTTTAGGAGCCTCCACATTCTTGACACCCTGAGCAATTCCCTATACCTATTCTTTGACCAGCATGAGTGATGTGGCATATGGTAGGCCAGGGGTGATCCCACTCACTGGCACTAGGTGAGGAAATGTGCTTGAGGTGACTCTCTGAAGTTTGCTATAATAGTTCATGGCAGACGTTCCACATTCAACATTGTCCCTGATGAAGTCATCCAGCACCTGGAAAGTGAAAGCCATCCTTGGTGCCTTAGATGTAGCCAGGAATAGGCTGGCCATGGTAAGCTAAAGATGTGAATCCTCAGACCCAGAGCAGTTGCAATACTGCACATTTCAAAAGTGCATTCCACCAGTGTCCACAACTGTCAGATAGTTTCTATCATCCAGTGGGTTAAGATGTGCCAGTCATTGACTCTCCTCAATGTCCTTACATGGCTGGCAGCATCCTCCCAAGAACCTTCTCCTGCTGGGCATGGTGCTCCAGCATGGCCCAAGTGTAGCACCAAGCCAACCTACAATATCAGTCATCACAGATGATGGGTTGAAACCAGAACTCACCAGCTGTAGAGTGAAGTCTTCAAAGAATCTTCCATTCCATTTTTGTACCCAATGGAATGGTCTGAGTTTGTGTTGCTTGATGCAACACGTTTTACAAGACAATGGGCAATGAGCACAGTCCATGCATCTATATGGTGCCCCTTCTGCTTTACACACAAAACAAGCCATGACATCAGGTGGGGCCTCCATGTCCAGGAGCACAGACAGGTATCTACTCTTATAGGGCAGCCACTCTTCCAGATAACTGTTCTGTAATACTGTAAGGCACACATTGCCAACACTGGGATGTTTGATGATGCACACCTGGCTTTTTGGAATTCTTGATGTCCTTGGTGGTGATGCATAATCCATGAAGTAATATAGGTCAGCATCATTACCCTGGACTAAATTGGGTTCCTGGATACTTGAAGATCCTGCCCTAGTAGGTTTTTCACCTTTTTCCAAGTGACATGGGTTACCAGGGTGGCCACTTCAGCTCAGGTGATTCATGACTTGCCCATGTCTAGTATCAAGTCCTTGCAGGATGTCTGCAGGCCTCAGCCATACATGCTTCATTGTGATGCCTGGCATGACTATGATTTGAGTTGGATCTCAGAATCAATGTCAGAAGATCCAATTGGGATCAAACTATACTTTATCTATATATAGTAGCAGACTGGATGATAGACAAATCAGCTTACCATGTTTGGCCATGGTACCAATCAACTGAAACAAGACCATACTAACAATGGGTATGTATCATGACCAGAACATTACTCAGCCCCTGGAACTTTATTCAAGAATGGGTGATGGTAACTATGAGGAACAGACTCCAAATTTTCTTTCAACAGAGGGTAACATTCCCTGCAACTAACCAACCCCAACACCTTCTCCAACATTCAGAATGGCCAGCAGTGATCACAGTACTAATTGTGTTAATACCTCAGATGAGGAGGACTTTTCCTCCAATGAGGAATCTAGCTTGGATAGCAGGGAGACAACAACATCTGCACTGGGAAAGCTGAGACCAGATGAACTTCAAATCCTCCAAGATGGTCTAAATGATTGGAAGGAAGCTGACACAAACAAAAGGGCCTCACTGATGGAGGGCATGCAGAACAAAATCAAATGGCTGGATGCCAACAAGAGCCTCAAACAAAATGAATGGAATAGAAAATGGACAGTAAGCTTGATGGTTTTGATGTGCTTTCAGTTGTGTTAAGTATATTTTACAGGCCATCAAGAACTGGATGTATAACAACAGTCAGTCCCAGGCATGGAAGGCCCTGGTCAAGTATGGCTCCAAATGGACAGCCCTAAAGGTGATCAAGCTGCAGTGTAAGAAGGATATCCAGCAAGTACTTGTGAAGGCCAGAATACATCCTGGGACATTGGCTATGATCAAACACTATCAGCCAACTGTTCAGAAGGTAGTCCAGTCATTGACCAAGGCTGAATTGGACAAGGCAGCCCATTTGGCAAAAGAGTGGAATGAGAGAAAGCTGCCACCTGAAGCCCAGGCAGAGTAAGCATCCAAGTTCTCCCATGGGCAATACTAACTTAAATGCAGGGGGCAACAAGTAAGGGCCAGAAGTATGCAAAACAGTTGGCATATGACATGTGGAAGCAGTGTGGGATGAGAGTGGTGATCATGTTGGCATGGAAGGATAAGGAAGGCAAAGTGATGGTTGGAGTGTGAGTGCTTTCCTGACAGGCTTCACCATATCTGACCAGTGTAGGAATGACTTCAATGATGAGCTGGGCAATGGAGAGCTCTATTCAAATTGGGAAGACCTTCATGGAAAGTGGTCAGCCTATGCAAAGAAGGCCTTTGGGGCCAATGGTACAGAGGATGGCAGCAGAGAGGATGAGGCCAGTCAAACCACAGTAAAAGCATGGAAAGGAAAAAAGTGGTCTCAATTCTCCCTGTCCACCAATGATGATGGCATGCCCATTCTTCCAAATCTCTTGGACTTACAGACACTGGAATTAAAGGACATCATGAGGGTGTTCATAACTGGCCATTATCATATGTGCCACTTGCCATGGTCAATGAGTTACTAACATCTAAACACAGGCTTGGCTTGTGGGAAGACAAATGCCAGTGTACCTTGGGCTACAATAGCTGACAACTGGGCATCCTATGTGTCTTCCAAGTATCTTCCTCCCAATATCCCATTCAAAGAGCCCACCAGGCTGACACATCATGAACTAATTGAAACCTTGGAGTTCTGGAAGGAGTGACAGCAGGAGCACCCAGAAGATGTCTTCCAGTTCTGAAGGTGGAGATCTCAGGATGGTTCCCTGGAGGAGCTGGTTGCCAAACACCAATGCCAGTCAGACAAAGCCAAAGGGAAGAGACCCTGGATGGAAGGTGAGGTCATGATCAATTTGGATATGCATAACTGATCACACATTAAGTAAATTCCATTGATGGCTCTGACTATGGACATCACTTGGAGGAGGAACCAGCTCCTCTCACAAAACCTTCCACCAAACAGCAATGGATAGATGGTATGTTGGAGCTGGTCAGATTCTTTACTGGTAACCCTAACATGACCTTGGAATTGTGTGCTGAAGATCATCCCACTGGAACATCCAATGCACAGGAGGACAACAGACAACAGAACCAGTCCACATCAGACTGGTGCAATATAGCTACTGCATACCCCAAGCCAGCTGGTAAGTTGTATCCAGTGACAATGAATACTGCTGATAGAATTGTATCAGACAATCATGCCAATGATGGTGGTGATTCAACTGCAAGGAAGCCCAAGCCCAAGCCAAGAATCAGATCCAATGGTCAGTTTCCATGCACACTTGGTTAATCCTCTCATTACAGCATTCTACAGCAGCCCAGAATGATAAGATGGTCATATCACCTAATGATCATAGGTATACATCCATAACACAATTACACACACCTTATCTATGTCAGGAGTTGATCTGGTGGGTAGGAATTTGAATGCCAGGCCTGGAGGCCATGCAATGGACAGGGAAGATAGACTGTTGGAATCAAGCAGAAGAGGATGGTGTGGTTTGTTGTCCAGAGCAGAATTGTAGGCCCCCACAGGTGGCCAGATGATAATTATCCTACTCCAACCATGAGGAGGCAAAGGTAGAATTGAGGCCAGTACCTACTGTTTTCCAGTAGACTGGTGACAACCATATATAGTGCACAGTGCAAGAATCACTGGTGAATTACTGGCCCCATAGCTACCATGTACCATAACCCACTGTCATAATCCAATTGTGGCCAATTTGTGCACTTCTCCAATTCCATTCAACATAATGTTCATTGAAATGAGTTAAATATACAAATTAAAGCTGGTCTGGTTTAAGACAGTAGCCTACACCTGCCAGCTCTTCCTCCAGAAGATCTGCTAACTGTTGCCAGAATCTGGTAAGCATGGCATGCTGCTCAACATGTGATTCACCACTCCCTGGTTGCATCCACCAGGGTATTGGCATAATACCTATATGTGGTGATCAGATTGGCATCATGTGCAGCATTGATGTCTGGCTGACATGCCCCACTCCTAGCCATGATACTGGAGATCTGCCTTGACATTTGAACTGGTAGACATGTTTAGCTATGGTTGCATAGGAACTTCTGGACTTACACTTGGTTTGTGGAGTATCAACTCCCAGCTGTATGGTGAACTCCTGGGAGACTGCTAAAAGCTCCAAATGTGACAACAGGATTGGCACCAGCGAATGGGGATCTAGCTGGTGGTATTGATGTGGAGCTGAATGATGCAGGAGCATCTGAAAGGTCCATAGGTTGATGAGGACCAGGGAAATTGCCACTGGGTGATGCAAATGTTGTTGGGCTGGGAACCAGGATAGGATTGCGAATAGGCTGGTGACACAGAGGGAGTTAAGGACTGAAATTGGGGCTCATGCAATAGGATGAATGGTTGTGATGATTGGCCAGCTGCTTGAGTTGGGTAGATGTAAGCTGATGATCTTGTGGCAGCAGGTGACTGAAATGCCAGTTCTTGTAAAGGACTGACCAGTGGGGACTGAAATGGTGGGGGTGACCCCCAAGGTGGCTCATGCAATGGCATACCTGGGGCAACAGGCAGTGGTGATTTGTCCCATGCTGGCTCAAGTAATGGGGTGCTGTCAGAGAGGTGTGTTGATATGGAGTCCCAAGGAGACTCAACCAATGGGCTGCTAGAGGAGGGAGACAGTGCCAATGACTCCCATGCTGGCTCTATCAAAGGTGATCTGGGCAAACCAGAGGACTGGAAGGAGGGTTCCATTCTGGTTGTGCATATTGTTTGAGCCAGGGGACAGCTCAAAAGGTGGCTCATGTAATGGGGATGATGGCATGTCCAGCAGGTCATCTTCAGTAAACATTTCCTCATCCTCATTCGAGAGATGCAAGCCACTGCATATCATGGTGTGACAGAATTACTGCACACAGTCATTAGAAGTAATGGTCCTTGGACCATGGTTGACTTATGGAGTTTATCTGGACTGCATGAACTGAATCTAACATTTCTGGGAGCCATATGAAAGTTCAAAACATTGTAGGTGCCATGGGGATTACACCAATGTTTGAGAATGATTTTGGTACATGTGATAAGATTGTATTACACAATATTTTTTCACCAGTCATCATGTGCAGGATGTGCAAGTGCATACATAATGGAAATGGGCACTTGATGGAATGACTGTCAACTGCCTATACATTACTCCCACCAAAATATGTTCAATGGTTAAATCAGTACATTGAATATTGTAAATCACAGCATCACTGGAGTGAGCATTTGTATTGTGCTTATGTAAGCCTGTTGAATGGTGTATGCTAGCCAGCAAATTCACCACACCACTCAAGCACCCACCACCTGCACACCTAAGCTTTAACAGCACTATGTCTACCACCAACACCAGCACCTTCATCCTGGCACAATCAACCAACAACATCCAGCCAGTCATCACCACTGAAAATGCCAAGCAGATAGTTGAGGAGGCTGCCAGGGTTACAATGCAGGCACTGAGAGGACTTCAGGGCCAGGATGCTAAGCACTGGGGCAAAGCAGCTCAGCTTGTGTAGGCCCAGCTGGTAAGTGAAATTGCAGCCATGATATCCATTCCTGACATCTATGTAGGGAATGGTCTGCATGGTTGTTGAACATCTACCCCCAGCATTCTGAGATCCCTCCACATCTTATTGCTATCAATATGCACATGGTTGACCTGGCAACAGTCTTTGCCATGCAGATGTGGCCTACCTTTCAACCAGATGATGATGGCATGAGAGGCTGATGTGAAGGATCATGCATGGTATTGCCTTTGTCACCAGCCTAAGTCTCACCCATATTACAAGGTCATGGAGGAGCTTACTGGGCCTTCATCAAGGGCAAAGCACCAGGCACAGCCAGTGGATAAGGGGAAGGGGAGAGAGTTGGGTATGGATGAGGCTCAAGGGATTTGGCTTCTGGGTGAGCACTAATTCTGAGGATGGCAATTGGGTAGACTGCTGATATGGGATCTGAAGATGCACCCACAGACACTATGGCTAGGACCACTGGAGTTGCAATGCAGAAGCCAGGAAATGAGGAGGATCAGAACAGGGAGAAGGCATGGGGCCATAGCCAGTCAAGATGTGGCCAGCCAGCAGCCAAGCCTGTCAATGCCAGTGATCAGACCAGTAGAGGCCAGAGCCAGTCAAGGAGACCAATGAAGAAGGCAAAACCAGCAGTTGACAAGGATGAGCAGGACTGGCAAGACATCAACAACCCTCCTGAGTCCTGAGAGGTAGTGCTGGAAGCTGAGCAGTGTGTGAGATGCTGGGACAGGAGTTGGCCCTGTATGGTGCTAGCTGGCAGGGCATGCTGGCAATGCCACTGTACCAAATACTCATGCAGCTTGTTCAAGGGGAGGGGAGACAAGTCTGAGATGCAGTGAAAAGCCTCCTGTTCAAGGCCTCACCAGCAATGATCCCCAGAAAACATGGCCAACCTTCCCACCACTTCAACACTGGCTGCACCAGCTCCATCAACCAGTCAAAGAGCCAAATGTCAAAGGGCACCAAGCTGAAATCAATCCACCAGTCCATCCAAAGTAACAAGCTGTCATTCATCTCCTGGCCCATGGACTGGCTTCCCCAGTAAGTTATTCACAGTCCTATGTTTTTTGCTAATAAGTTGAACTAATATCTCTATTGAGTAGTGGAAATTATTACTCTGTCATGGCTATCCCAGTCACAGTCTCATGCAAGAAGCATTGCAACAGCCCCACCCATCACTCCAGTGCCAACTACTACAACTGGTGCCAATGATCCATGCCATTGTGATGAGTATCAGGAAGAGGTTACCATCCTCAAGCAGGAGAATGCTGAGATGAGGTGGGAGATAGAAGCAACCTGTACTGAGCTTGCTGCTCTCCATCAGGTGGTAGATGCTATCCATAATCACCTATTCCCAGCCCCAGATGTGCTTAACCATCCTCTGGTCCCATTTCCTGCTACTTCCAACCCTACACCAGTACCTCACATGCCAGTCATGGTGGAACTTGCCACTGCAACTGGTGTTGTAGAGGTTCAATCATCCTGAAGTGGCTCAAGACAGGAGTCCACTGAACCCCCCCTGGCTTCATTCAAGGGAGGTGCCAGCTTGGAAGTACCTCCTTTGAATGCCAAACCTGTGCATGGACCTGCTGGAGGTCTGGTAATCTCTATTACTCCACCACCACCAGCAGTCAGACCAGCACCTGGACAGGAAGGTAGGATGGAGGTTGACTAACATCAATGTACTTGTCATTTCGCAATCCATTCATGTTTTTTTTGTCTTTGTACTTGTACTTTGTTAGCTGCAGCAATATATTCTATATTGTCAAAATGTGATCTCCAGGAAGAAGTAGCTACTGCTACTGGTAGTTGTTACTGTATGATTCAGATACTGGAAAACCAATCTGGTATGGTGATGTCTGTACCAAGGCCATGGTGTTACAAGCACTAAGGGCTAATGGAGTCATGGTTCACCTAGATGATTGAATGATGACTGGCCAGCATAACTCAATTGTTTTTGCTGTATAGCATGGTGACTTTCATGGTATTGTTCTGGCTTGCTGGAGGCAGTAAGGCATTGAATTCACAGTTTAAATGTACTGGGTAGTTGGCTAGTCTTCTGGTCATTACCAGAGCCACCATTGTGGTAATACATGCATCTCCAGCATGGTACTGGTACCAGTATGTACATACACTGTGGACCTGCTCCCAGGAGGTCAGGCAGGTCAGGCATGGTATGGTATAATCTCTGGGTGGGCTTCCATGGCATTGGCACTGGGATGGCATTCATGGCATTGGTGCTGGGACAGCTTGACTGGTGGCCTCATGGAATTGGGGATGTGCCAGAACATATGGCAAAGGTGCCAGGATGGCTTCCATGGCATTGGTGTTGTGCCAGAACACATTACAATGGTGCTGGAATGGCCTGCATGATGGCCTCATGGCATTGTGGATGTGCCAGCACTCATTACAAAGGTGCCAGGATGGCCTGCATGATGGCCCCATGGCATTGGGGATGTGCTGGAACACATGGACCTGGTGCTGGTGCTGGCTCACAATAAATTGGTGCCAGGACAGCTTCCATGATGGCCCCATGGCAGTGGCAATGTGCTGGAGTATGTGTCATTGGTGCCAGCATGGCTTCCATGGCATTAGCATTGTGCCAGTTCACATTAAATCAGTGCCAGCTGGGATGGCTTCCATGGCATTAGTCCTGGGTTGGTGTTGGCCTGGCTCACATTGGATTGGTGCTGGGATGCCTTGAATGGCATTGGTATTGGGTCTGCCCACATGGAATCAATGCCAGGACAGCCAGCATGGCACTGGTGTTGTGCCAGCCTGCATGGCATTGGTATTGGGCCTGTTCATATTGCATTGGTGTTGGCACAGCTCACATGGCATTCATCCCAGGATGGCCTGCATGGCATTGGTGGTGGGCCAGCCCACATGGCAGTGTTGCCAGGATGGCTAGCATAGCATTGGTGTTGGGCCAGCTTGCATGACAGTGTTGCCAGGGGTGAACTCAGGGGCTGAGCCCATCCATACCTTCCAGGGACACCCAACTCTGGGCTTACCTGGGACTACTCATATTGCAGTGGCTACACCCTAATCCCACAGCTGGCTTGTACCCCATGATGACAATTCTAACCTCTGCCCAGCCATTCTCCATAATGACTCCTACTCTTGGGCTCAGCTGTATGCTATGGTGACACACATTTATTGGGCTCTCCCATAGTCCATGATGACACTTACTCCCCAGCCTGCTTGTAACTGACAATGACAATTCAAACCACAGCTGCACCATTCCTCATGACAACATTTCCTCTCAGGCTCAGCTGTACTACATGGTGACACTCATCAGTTGGGCTCTTCCATACTACAAGGTGACAATAGGTTCATGGCTCTCATGTAACACACATGCACAAGCCATACATGGGCTCAACCTCTGCTGGCCTGTCACTGACAGCCAACTGTCAGCCTCTGCTGACTGTCTCATACAGCCTAACCAGGTGCATGGGCTCATTCCAATGGCAAGCTTGATTTTGTCAGACAGCCCAGCATGTTCCTGTCTGTTGCATGTGTACCCTGTCTTTGGGTTAGTATCCACAGCAAATTCTTTGGGCAATGACAGAGGATGCCCAGTGTGAGGAATCCACATTCCCTAGATGCATAAGCCCCTATCATTGACTGTTCCATGACTATTATTACATCCTCAGTCCACTCACACTCACTGCTGTTCACATGCTACCTTCCTGCCTTCTTTGTAGCCTTCCCATGCCCTCACTCCCTCTCATACTTGTACTATACCCATGGCTGCCATGTTCCAGTGATTTCCATTCCTTTGGACTCTTTTCCCTTAGTGCTAGTAGTATACCCTCAGCCACTGTTGCAGCCTGTCCAGTGTGTATATTCTATCACACATCTTTTTCTTACTTGTACCTTGTCTTACTTAGGTTCTGGGTTTGCCCAGACTATAAAGCCCTGTACTTAGGTACAGAATGATACCTTTTGGCACTCAGAAGGTCACTATGAGTTTCTTTTCACTTCAACTATGCTATCCACCCCACAAACTGCTGCAGATGACCTATGTATACCACTCACACTGCTTGCATCACCAGTACCACACTGCAGAACATGCTACACATGCCATGAAACATTACTACTACAGAGTGCTGAGTTTTGCCTTCTAGTTTTGACAGTCCAAAATCCCTTGGGATGAGTAATTTGTTCCCTTCATTTTATTGTGTTACCTAATCCAACTAGCTTGTGTTATACAGCTACTTGGATTGTCCTTCCACTGGCTATGCAATCCCAAGCAGGGCAAATGACAAGATAGGATCTGCAGTCCCCTGAGTGAGTTTGGGCATGCATTGAATTCCAACACATATGCACAGCATGCCACAGTGTGACCAGTACAGCATTTCTCCATGGTGCTTGTGCAGACCCTTCAGTCACATGTACCTGAAAGTGGGTCATCCAACATGTACATTTTGTCCTGAAAGTGGGACTAACTGACATAGGCCTATAGACCCTCACAGTGGATAGGCTGATATGATGGAGGGAGTTGGTCTACATCACTGAGGAATGACCTCACCACTGGGAAGTCACTTCAGGTAACCCATTTTCATAAGCATTTAGGCTGAAGTTTTTCCACAAATCATTCAAGCTAAAAGCCACTCAGACCAGGTCATCCCAGGGACATCTGGCCATGTCCCAGGGCTATTTGCAGTGTGCAGGACCTGGGATGTCCCCTAATCCCAGCCTTTTGGTAATATATTTTGGGCTGTCCCATGACTGCCTTAGGTGTCAGGGGTCCTCAGCTGAAAAAAAGTGCAGTTCATATTCACACTGAAATGCCACTTCTGATCAGAACAACATACATAGCTGTCATGATCATCCAGGATGATGAGCACACCTGTCAAAGTAGGGGGATATGTGAGAGTCACTGCCATTCCAAAATCATGTAATACAACTTATGTATTATACACAGATTTGAAGAATACTGGGCAATCAGTGTGTTTGTGTGTGGTGTCATTTCCAGACTCATACAATGCCTATGGCAGTGAGCATTGCATTATTGTAATGAATTTTAATGGATTCAGACCACTCCCATGAGTGTCTATGTATGTAAGTTCCCTTTTTGACTGCAAGAGTGTTCCTTACGAAGATCATACTAAATGCATCTCAGCCCCCCTCTCTGAAGGCCAGTTGTAAGCATATGCTTACCACTGCACCACTCACACTCACTCACACTATCTCATCACAGTATCACATCTCCTATTGCACCATCTGGGCATGTGGATCCCCTCAGCTGTGTTGTGCTGTTTGGACTCTGGGGGCATATATATATGTTGGAACATAAAGTGCTCCTGTGGTACTTGACCACTGTGCGATGTTCTGGCTGCTTACATAAGCTGAAATAGCGCACCTACTTGTAGTATTTTCTACTAGTATTCCCTCAGTAGTTTGTTCACTACTGAGATAGCCTACAGATATTTCTACAATATACTGGTGCTATCTGTATGCACAGGTCATCATCTCTCTTTCTCTCTCTCTCTCTCTCTCTCTCTCTCTCTCAATCTACCTGTATCAGCATATACACTTGATCACTGGATTGCTTAATATCACATGCCTGTCCATGTTCTGTTATTGTTGTGGTCCACTCTGAGTGTACTCACCCCACAGTAGCGAGTTCCACTTTTTTTGAACATGCCATAGCACATGTCAACACCTGGTAGAGGTGCCAAACTGCTGCCCTGTTGCACCCCTTCTGTTCCCATGCCCTTGACTACCCATAGTCAAGGGAATAAGCCTCCACCCATGACACTGCCATCATCACTGCTGTCTTCATCCTTATCTGCACTGTCTCTGCCCCCTACTGCCTTGCCTTCCCTACCCATGGCTTTGCCTGGTGCCACTTCTTCTCCACCTGTCTCCCCCTCATATGTTCCCCTACCAGCATCCTTCCCACCATCTCCTACATCCACAGACAGCTCCTCCTCATCTGACAGTCTTACTGTGGTCTTCCCTGTCATTGTGATGTCCTTGATGCACTGCACAATGCAAGAATACCACTCCTGGCAAGACTCCCCCCTTCTTGACAGTGGGTGACATTACCCCTGAAGGGTTGTGGAGCTGGGAGCTAGGTTGTGAGAACTACTGTCAGTTGAAAGGTGTGGCAGAGGATGTCCAGGTTGCTAAGGTGGTTGGCCACCTTATTGATCCACATGTACAAGATTGGATTAGTAACAACAGCAGCCAACTGACTGCTCTCTATTTCTTGGAGTTTTTGGATGAGGTCCATACATATTGGCTCCCCAGTGACTGGGCAGAAGCCCTCCAGCCAAAGATGCTGTCATCAATGCAGGGTAACAAGGCCTTCCACTTGTGGGCCATTGAGGTGGAGAGTCTGAATGTCCTGTTGTGAGGAGGTGAATTTCACCTTACAGAGGACCATCTCTGTTTCCACTTAGAGTCTCATAAGCACCCCAACCTCACTGCAGAGTACCATCTGACAGCTACCCATCATGAGCAGTGGTTCTGCGCTTGGCTCGACTTAGTCTGCCTCCTCAACAAGAAGCATGACCATGATGCTGCAAAGATTGATGCAGCTATTCACAAGAAGCTGTTCCAGCCCAGCCATGCAGCCAATGATACCACATTGAACCCAAAGGCACCTGATGGCCATGTGAATACCTGACCACCTGCCCTCACTGTCAAGGAGTGCCAGCTCCTCTGAGGCAACTCTGGATGTTTCAAGTGTTGTCACCTCTTCAAGAATCACACTATGCACAACTGCCCAAATGATTTCCCATATGCTAAGAACTATAAAGCCTTGACCATTGCTGATGTTGAAGCTGCTCAAAAGAAACATGCCAAGCCTGCTTCAAAGAATTCCTGCATCACTGAGGAAGACAGTATGGATGCCATTGCCATTGTCATGCCCTCTGCCATTCTTGGGGATGGCACAGACTCAGGTAAGGGTACATTGCCCTTCTTTCTGTTCCCCATCTTCAGTGGTCATGCCTGCTTGAGGGCCCCAACTTGACCTTCCCCCTTCCTGTAAAGGCACTTATTGACAGTGGTTCTCATCTAGTTCTGATTGATGAGGCACTCATTGAGAAACTAGGACTGTGATGCCAACTGTTACACAAGTCTCTCCATGTTTCAGTCACCCTTTCTTTGGGTGACCAGTGTAGGAAAAGAGAATAAATGGGGAGAGAGGTTTAGTAGGAATATCTGGGGGGAATGAGTAGGCCAAAAGGGGCTTCTATAGCCTGGAACTGGATCCTGGTAGTTGTCTGAAGGCTTCTATGGCTGTCTGGGTGCAGGGAAACAACCTGCTCAAGCTCATCTCTCATCTTAGGGTAACTCATCTCTTCTTTAAAGGAAAAAAACCATACACAAGTAGCACTACTGCTGACTAAGCAACCAAAAATGCGAAATCTAAGTGCAACTCATCGAAAAAAGTATCTAGAATGAAAATGAAGTAAAACAAGCAAAATAAGGCAATTCCTCTGGTAGGGAAATTACATTCCCTACATCCCAGGGGCACTCGAGATCTTGACTGTCCCCAGTCAACCCAAAGGTGGCTCGACTACACAGGAACCCAAGGTCATGAGGGAGGGGGCGAAACAACAACTCATCGACGAAAAACGGGTGGTCGGAATGCCGCGATACGAGACATGACAACAGAAGGGAATGCAGTGAGCACCTTGCAAAATGAGTGGAGGGAAATCCGTGCGCCCGATCCTGAGATATCCACATATCTGCCCAAGGGTACCCTCATTCACCAGAAACCAAACATAGCCGCGAGTTCCGCAGCGACGACCACGGAAAAGGTACTATTCTGAAGCTGTCGAACAGTAGCATCAGGATCCCGAAAAGCGAGAGATCCGGTCGAGAAACAGGTGAGATACTCAAAGAGTTGTCCGAAAGTGTCTCTAACCACGAAAATGGGCATATCTCGACGATAGCTGCGCGGAATTTGACAGAAGAGGCGTCCCCAGAGAGGGCTACGCGAGGGGAATGGACTGCAGGGAAAGCGAGAGGAGCAGCGCTCGGATGCGCGAGATACGATGAGAGGACTTCGAGGGTGGGGAGAAGGGATCGACTCGCACAACAATGGCTTGGACGATCAATACGAAACTCCATGAGATGGTAAAGGACTCGTAGACGAACAGAGAGAATGAGGAAACACGCTGATTGGATCAGCCGATCCTGAGTTATATGTGAAACCGTCTCGAAGCCCTCTGGATACGAAAATGCGAACATCTCGATAACGGTTGCGCGGAATTTTACAAAGTAGATGTCCCCAGGAAGGGTTCAGCGAGCGGGATGAACGACCCGAAAAGCGAGAGGAGCGACGTAGAACTGCGCGAGCAACTATGGCAAGACCTCGAGGATGGGCCTTCTGGGCCTTCGCACAAAAACGCAAATATTTCCGGAGCTACTGGACCTATCAGAACAATCCTGATATCAACATGGAGCATTCGTCGTGGACTACAATCCTCCCAAAAAGCGAGAGGCGCGACGCGGGAACGAGCGAGATACGACCACAGGACCCTGAGAATGGACCTATCCACAAAAACGTGAATATCTCCTGAACGGCTAGCCGCATGTAAACGAGCTTTGTACCGACAGAGAGCTGACGTCGAGTAGTACGAGCCTCCCAAAAAGCGAGAGGCACGGCGCGATAACAAGCGAGATACGCGCTCGGTATGAGGGAGGTAGTATTCACCTTGACGAGCGACAAGCGGTGTTGATGGTGGCCTCGTCGACAGCGTGCCTTGCCGGAACTGTATCTGCGGATGGGAGGCATCATGTAGAGTGTGGGAAGGCGCCGAGTGCGATGCTAAACGGTGTTCCGTGGGGAACTCGAGCCTGGGAAAGATGAAGGGCGAAACAAGAAAATTCGAACATAACTAATGTACCAAAAATTCCGCATTACGATGTAGGTAGATCCATACTAGATACTGTAAGATCCATAAGCAAAGAAGTAAAAAACAACATAATGGAATTCGTGCGACATGCAGCGTCAACGCGCTCTTCGAGAGCGCCGGGGCGTGCGACTGCGGCTGCGCGACCGCTTCGGTTTGGAACGGATGTATGAATACACCTTCCTCGAACATGAACGAGAGCGCGAGTGCAAGGACGACGACGAGGATGACGAGGAAGAAGGGAGTGAGCTATTGGTCGAATATGAATATGAGCGCCTTCGAGTGTGATAACGCATCGAGCTGCGGGCATATGACTGGACTGGTATGAAATCATCTTTCGAATGTGTGTACGAACCCGTTCGAGTCTGCGAGCGCGAGCGTGAACGAGGATGCGAGGGCGATTGGCCTCGGCCACGTGGCGACCTCGACTGTGGCTGCGCGTGCGGTGAGCTATGAGAGTGCTCGGCTGACGAGCAATGAGACTGAACAGCTGGTGGGTCGGCTACTGCTGGCTCGAGCTGGAGAGTAGGTAGGGACCGAGTAGACACGATGCTCGTCTGAGCGGGTATGTGCGATGGTGCGTTGAACACGCTTCGAGAGGGTGCGGCCGTGGGTGAAAGCGAGCGAGCGGGCGATGAGCCCATACGAGCCTCGAACTGGCTTGTCAACAAAGACCAGTTGTCAAGTCGGTCTTTGTAAGGTTCGGACCGACGCTGTCGGCCGCACGTCACTTGTTCAATATTCTTTTGACGTTTCTTCTACATATCTCATTGTTGGAGATATATTCTCCCCTGTGTTCTGCTCACTTTGGTGTGATGTTTGGGTGCTTACATAATCACCTTACAGCGCACATTTTACAGTAGTTTATTCACTTTTCCCTCAGTAGCTTGTTGCACTACTGAGGGTAAGCTCACTTTCACTACCAGTATTATACTTACTGATATCCTGTAGATACCTACAGGTTGGTCTAATACATTAGTAGCTTGTTGCACTACTGAGGATACCTACAGCATCCTTCAAAACTCATTTGTGATTGATCGAGTTCTTATTCACACCTGTTCTTACTGATATTGCATGCCTGTTCTCTCTACTATCAAAAGGGCCATGTATCTTAACATATGGAGAGAATTTTCCTACATACTGGAAATACAGACCTTGGTGTCTTGGAACTTCGAGGTAACCACAGGAAAGCTCCTCATGTAGTGTCATTGCAAGTGCCTCACTTCACTGTCACCACTACATATTTTTTTCCAGCCTATACAGTCTAACCCCAAACCCTAAATGATATCCCCACCAATACCTTCTCCACCATCTGCAGAACTGATCCCCTGCAGAGACAAAAGAGTAAGTATCCAAATACTTAATAAAAAGATGGTTAACACCTGAGTGTCCATTCACTGAGCAACAAAAGCTCGAGCATCATCCTTACCTCCTAGCCTGATGACTCAGCCTGGCGCTGAAGTCATCAATAGGTCCCTGCTTCCAAAGCTGACTCCATTAGGAAGTCAGTATTCCACCCCAGTTGGTAAGCCTGTTGAGGGTAGTGTCCAGAGCTACAGCAATGTGGTTAAAAATGGCTCTAGGAGCCCCAGTCCAGTGTACCATGGTGTGGCTGTAGACACTCCCAGTTTGAACCCTAGTTTGCCAGTGCATCCCAGTGATGACATTGTCCTGGAGACCTCACAAGCTAGATCTGTTAGAGTTCAGGTACCAACTCACAGAGACAGTGATGCCTTACCCAATGATGTCCAATGTGAATCCATGTCCATGTTCCCAGCAAGTGAGACAGAGGTGGAGCACACTGAATGGACAAAAGTGGTGCACAGATGATCATGTGATCATTGTGCCCAAAGCGAAGTAAGACCAGACATCAGAGATGCCATCAGACAGGCAGAACGATGAATGACCCTGGATGAAAGAGCACAAGTCCAGAGGAGGTCTTTGTCAGTGGCAAGAAGTGGCACTGACAAGTCTACATCTGAGAGCAATCAATCGCCTGAAAACAAAGATCCTAAAGGGAAAGGCCCTGACCCTAAGAACTGGGGAGGTTTAAATTTCAATGATGCAGAAGTAGATCCTGATGCACAGCATGCAGCCCTCACATTGTGGAATATGGTGAATATGCTCACCAAGGATGGTGGACTAGAACACCAACCTGGCATGCTTGAGGAAAGCCACTTGAAGAATGCAGACCTGGATAATAAAGATGGAGGCCTGACCACCAATAGTGAGAATGTGGAACATAGGTCTAAGAAAGAAAAGTCTAAGCACAAAAGGATGACTAAAAAGAAAATGACTAAGCCTGCAAAGGTGTTCCTGAATCCTGTAAAAGATATGGTGGATAAAGCTGTGCACCCAGATCACAAATGGTGAGAACATCAAAAGACACCTAAGGCCATGGAACCTATAAAACAGATCAACCCAAAGAGCTTCATAGGACTCATGTTCAAATGGATAGAGAAGGATGAGAAACACTCAAAGAAAAATGAGGGAAAGGCGAGATGAAAGTTGGACTCTTCCAGTGACAAGGACTCCAGTTCATCTGAGCCTGAAGACTTGTCCAGTGAGAGCTCTAGTGATGATGGCTCACCTTCTTCTAGCTCGAGTAGCAATACATCGAGCTTGTCAAGCTTGAGCAATGATGACTTGTCCTCAACAAGCAGCAACTCCTCATCCAACACAAGTGAATCATCTACAAGCTCGCAAAGACAATGAGGAAGGTCCCAACACCATAAAGGGTGAGGCAAAGGATGCCATAAATCTAAGAAGTGTTCCAAATCCCAAAGAAAGACAATGCTCAAGCCTATCCCACCAGACAAGCATGATGGATCTGATGACATCCACACTTTCCAGTGATTTGTTACTGAAGGTGCAGCCTATGTCACAGATGACCGAGTTGAGCCTAAGAAGTGTGCTTTTATTCTGTTGCACTACTTGACTGGAAAGGCACATGAGTTCTATGTGCGAGAAGTGTCTGGAGACCCTTACAAGTGGAGACTTCCAGACTTTTTCACACAACTCTTCAACTATTGCTTCCCTATCGATTTCCAAATGCAACAAAGGGAAAAGCTGCAATCCTGTTATCAGAATTCTAAAATGGTTAAGAACTACCTGTATGAGCTCAACAAGCTGTGGAATATGATTGGGGAAACAGACGAATGTACCAAAGTCCACAAGTTCTGGGCTGGCCTTCAAATGGAACTGCAGAGAGATCTGTGGAAGGAGAAGTTGAATCTGGAGGTCTCATTGTTAAAGAAAATCACTGCATCAGCTGAGATACTTGAAATTGCACAGACAGTTGCTGGTGATTATACCCACAAATCTAGAAGACAGAGAAGTAAGTGAAGGATGCTGGAAAGTGCCACTGCCTCACCAGAGATCCCCAAATGGTGGAAATCTGGATACAAATGAAGGTGTGATTGCAAACAAAAGGCCAGGGGTGAAACCTACCAGAGGGACAACAGTCCTGCAGAATCCTCTAACCAGGGAGGAAGGTGGGGAAAACACCCAGAAAAACATAAGTGCAATACTCCAAAGTTGAGCAAAGAGGAACAGGAACAGCACAAGACAGAGGGACTTTGCTTCAATTGCCACAAGTTGGGACATTTCTTCAGGAACTGCCCAAGTTGGCACACCATATCCTCATCGAGCAAACCTCCAGGGTTATCTAGCTTTGGTGTGGATGTCGATTTTGGTGATGTGGAGAATCAATGCCAATTGTCCAAATCATCCAAGCACAAACCTGGACTGTCATTGAACTTCATACCTGTCTGGAGATACACAATCCAGGATGAGGATGACAACCTCCCTGACCTGGAGAGTGTATGGAGTGAAGACAAATATGACAGTTGTGATGATGAAGTCACCACTGATGAGGAGGATCCTAACACAGGGATGCAAGTGTATGTCTATAATAGTAGACAATTCTGCAGGCCTCACAAGGGGTACTATGGGATCAGACACCCTTTAGAGGATCGGGCTATGGACCTGTTATTGGGAATCTGTTATCCAGGCAACAACCCAGAATTGCTATGCACCTACATGGATTCATGGTTCCTTGTATATGACCTGGGGAATGGGAGACACATGATTGTTGAAAGTGAGCACGACATGCTCAGACCTGAGGATGGGATTACTGTCAAGACAGACTTGTTAAGCAACCCATCATTCTGACTTGACAGTTGGTATTGGTTCCAAAAGGGAGAGCATTCTGGGATTCCGAAGCCAGAGTTGCAACATCAAGAAAGGGTGCAGACTTGGAGATCAAAACCCATAGGGCATCCCATTGAAGACCAAGTTGCCACCGATCTTGAGGAATATAGCCTACAGATCCTGGAAGGGGGAAACTGAGACAGGTTTGCATGTGTTAGGGAAGATAACTCAACCATACACATACTTGACTGTCACATGGAGGTTTGCCTAGCTCTCCCACTGGATAAGGTAACCATACCAGAGTTCAATGTCATGTGCTGGTATGCAAGGGAATTGGTTTGTGCACTTATGGAGCACTTATGGAGCGATCCCTTGGAGGACAATGACTTGGGAATTTGACTCCTGTTTGAAAGCAAGGAGATTAGTGCAAGTGATGAGAGATCAGACTCAGAAGAAAACATACTATGCAGAATGGCCCAACTGAAGAGTGCCAAAGCCTGCACTGAGGACAAAACTGTTCTACAATGAAACTCCTCAATTGCAAAAGACTTCACATGCAGGATACCCAAGCCACTGGTAGTCATTGTGCACATAAATGGCCATCCAGCATGTGTGCTGATTGATACTCTTCATGTCAGTAACCCTTGTGGAACAACTAAAGGTCAAGCAGATCCCACTTGAGAAGCCACTTACCATACAGCTCACCATTCAGGGCTCGAGATCTAAAGTGAATTTTGGCACGAAGGCCTGGCTCCAGTACCAGGGGATTGACTGTGAATGATATTTTGACATCATGAACCTACAAAACTATGATCTTATTCTGGGAACACCATTCCTTTATCAGCACAAAGTAATGGTGGGGTTACACTCACCTAGAGTCATTGTTGGAAGCATATTGCCCATGGAGATGAAAGGAGTGCAGGTTTCCACTCTGGAATCACATGTGACAGAAATTTACCATGACAATCTCAAAAAGGCAAGAATGTACTTACAAGAGCTTGCCAAGCCACTGTGCTCTCAAGCTGGTGCTATGGCACTGCCCCCATTCTGAGCAATCAACCATGAAATACCCCTGATTGATGAAAAGAAAGTCTATCATTGGAGACCATCGAAGTGTCCTGATGCCATGCATCACTTATGGACAGAAAAGAAGAATGCCTACCTTGAGGCCAGTCATTGGGAGTTGATGGCCATGCACAATATGTGCCCGATGATGCTGATCCCAAAGGCAGGGAACCCACCTCAGCTTCGAGTGGTGGTTGACCTGTGAGAACAAAATAAGAACACTCATAAGCTCACCTATGCCAGATATGGATGGAATTTTGAGACGAGTGGCCAAAAAGCCTTATTGATCAATCATCGATAGTGCTGATGCCTATGAGCAGATACAAGTGGTACCAGAGCATGTTGAACAAATGGCAGTAATGATGCCTGACAGAAACATGGTCAGTCTCATCATCCAGCAAGGAGATTGTAAAGCACTGGCCACTTACCAAGCCCTGATGAATCACATTTTCAGGGAGTATATTGGCTCCTTCATGGACATGTACCTTGACAACATTATCATCTATTTGGACACATTAGAAGAGCACATCTGACATGTCAAGACTGTGTTGGAAATACTCATCTGAGAAAAGCCATACCTGAGCAAAAAGAAGCTCAGGTTTCTGAATGACAAGGTAAAAATCCTGGGCCATGTGGTCACTAATGATGGGATAAAGATGGATCCTGATAAAGTTGACTGCATCCTCAACTGGAAGGTTCCAACAAATCATATGCTGTGTAAAGGATTCATTGAGTCAGTTGGTTACCTCGCAGATGATATCTACAAAGTCTGCATACCTCTAGGGGTGCTCACTGAAGCAAGCGCAGAGACTTGCCCCTTTCAATGGACATTCACTGAGCAATGGGCCTTTGAAACTGTAAAGCAATATGTTGTCACTTGTGCACAACACTGTCATGTACCCCTTGATTACAGACCAGACTGCAATCCTGTCTGGGTAATGACTGATGCTTGTGGGAATGGCATTAGTGGCATTGTAGCACAAGGAGTGGATTGGAAGTCAGCCAAAGTTGCTGTGTTCTACTCTGCAAAAATGTCTTCAGCTCAGCACAACTACCCAGTCCATGAACAGGAACTCCTCACAGGAGTGGAAACAATGTTGCAGCACCAGGACATCCTCCAAGGCATACATTTCACTTGAGTAACCGACCACAAAAGCCTGACATATCTGTTGGATCAGAAAGACTTGTCTGGGTGACAGGTGTGATGGTTGGAGAAGTTAGCTGAATTTGACTTTGGAATCAGGTACATACCAGGAGAGGAGAATGTTCTTCTGGACACTCTTTCCCAAATGTATGAGTTTGATGCTCCTGGGACAATCCATGCACATAGCGAATACCTGCATCATGACCTGGACATCAAGGAGACAGTACCACCAAAGGAGAAGCAGCAGATAATAAGCTCACCTTTGTATGTAGGTGTTGAAGCACTTGCAATGTCTACCAGGGCTTGTGCACAATCTGACACCCCTGTTGGGCCTTTGCTGATGGAGCAACCATCAGCTCACCAACAGAAGCTGGTGCTAAAACCTCCAAGGAGACCTCCCACACTGGCAATCGTGAGGCAACATTCCATGCCAACAATAGACCCAAATCCACCCAAGGATGAGGGTGGCAAGATAAAAGTTCCTGCTAAGGATCAGCTGGAGGGAACAGGAAAGGGACCTGCACAGCAACCCTGTGCTCTTACACCCCCAGCTGAGACTGGTTGACTGGAGACCAGAATTGAGTTTGCATGACAAATGAAGGATCATTTCATTCTTCTTGGACCAGGTGAACGAAAGAAGGGGGGAAAGGGTAGTGGACCACCCCCTGAACATGCTACAGACATGTTGCCAGACACACAGAGCTCATTGCTAAGCACATGGGAATTAGATGATACAAGTGATTCAAGCATGGCAGGCAATACAGAAATGAATCTTGTGCCCCTCATTGTGTACCCAGGAAATGAAGGCATACTTAGGGAAGCACAGAACAGATATGGTGAAGACCCATTCTTTAAACAGATACTGGATGCCCTGAAGGCATTCAAGAACTTTGAAATCACACTAGACAGTTTCATTCAATTAAGATTGCAAGACTGTGTTGTATTCTGTGTCCTGGACATTGCAGTAAATGACAAATGATTAAGGGAAATGGTCATTGATCAAGCTCATTCCCTACTCGTGCATCTAGGTGCTAGAAAAATGGTATCCTACATACAAGAGTTCTTATGGTGGGACTCTATGGTAAAGGACATCACCACATACTGCACATCATGTCAGACATGCCAATGAAGCAAACTGCTGATTCATAAACCCTTTGGACTGCTGAACCCACTCTCTGTACCATCCAGGCCTTGGGAAGCGATTGGAGTAGATTTCATGGGCTCAGCTGTATGCCATGGTGACATTCATTCATTGGGCTCTCCCATAGTCCATGACAACACTCAATCCCCAGCCTGCTTGTAACTGATGATGGCAATTCAAATCACAGCTGCACCATTCCCCATGACAACATCTCCTCTCAGGCTCAGCTGTACTTCATGGTGACATTGTGTTTGAGCACATGCCAAATAGGTGCTCAGATAAGGCATTAGCATTTTACCTTTTGTGGAGAGGGTTCCAGGAGAATTGCAGCCAGAGCACTATTGACAGAGTTCAAGTGGGATTTAAGATGTTGTGGGACAAAGCATATGTGTTGTGACTGCTTGGTTTCCCTTGATGCTCATAGAGAAATACCTTCAGCATGCATTTCTTCTCAACAGCGATGGTGTGACATTCCATGGGAACTGGCATCACAATGATGTGAAGGCAGCCCAGTCTTGTCAGCAGAAGTTGACGATATTGTTGCATCTATCAGACACAAGGTAAATTGTGAAGGAGCTGAATGGAAGCATTCAGGAGCCATGAAGAAGGAGTACATGGATAAAATACTTGCCTGGTCAGGATTGCTATGTCCACTTGACACCCCACTCCAGTACATCCATCTCACAATGGTAGGCTGCAAAACACTGCCATCAGCTGAGTCCCTGAGCAGGAAGGTGAGGCTAGCAGTCACATGGCACCTTGAACACCTTGCCTTTGGTGCTGTTGCATTCACGCTCTGGACAAGGTAGGTACCAGTAGGTGGCATTGCCAACAATGTTTTGATGGTGGAATCTGACAGGAACTATGAACTGCTGAAATTGAAGCATGGGGATGTCAAACTTGACTGGACTGTCGTAGACAACATGTTCATGAAATATCTTTGAGGTGAAGAAGTCTCCCTCACTGTAAATGAGCACAATGCTTACTTCGAGATCCACCTGAAGAATTGTAAGGGATGGCAATGAAAGTTGGATAAGGGGATGAGGGAGGTCGACTTATGAAGTCCATCCTTATATCCATCTTTGCATATCTTATCCATCTGATCTCCTTTTATTGCTATATACAAGGCAATCATTACAAGATTTATCCATGCCCAGATATGGGCAAAGCATGTGACACCTTCCTGCACCTTGTGTCATTTCACTTCTCAGAATCACAAACAAGGTCACAGGTCTATTTCATAGTAGTACAAAATATACAAACAAAAAAAAAAAAGGAGAAGTCTACTCTACTCTTCCATCACTTGCTCTTGCTCTCCACCACCCTCCTGTCCTTCTCTGCCTTCCAGCTCTCTTCTGACTTCTTCCTCTTCCTCATTGTCCCCCTCTGCACCTTCATCCCTGTCCTCTTGCACCTCCAACTGAGGTTGCTTCCATCCTCCTCCTGCATGCTTGAACTCAGCCATCCTGGCCTCACGCACGTCCTCCCTCCTCCTCATCTCCACCCATCCTGCCCACTCATGGTACAGCCCCCACTCATTGGCTGTCCACTCTGCAGTCTCTGCCATCTGCTCCATTGCTCTTGCCATCCTCTTGAAGGCTGTCATGGCCTTCTCATGCACCTCTGCATACCTCTCTGCAGCCTGCAGCTGCTGCTCCTCAAGTGACAGTAAGTTCATGGCTCTCATGTAACACATGAGCACAAGCCATGCATGGGCTCAACCTCCACTGGCCCATTGGCAATGGCTGATTGTCAGCCTCTGCTGACCATCTCATACAGCCTAACCAGGTGCATGGGCTTTCTCACTGGGCCTCAACACCCATAAGGTGCACAGATGGATCCAGGAAGAACTCATAAAAGACCCAATGGCATTGCTGCCACCTCCAATGCATGCAACAATCACATCCAGAAGTTTCCCTGTTGCCTCCTTCATCTCTGCTTTGATTTCATGTCCAATCACCTTTTGATAGTTGGGAATGGATGAGGGCCACACAGGATCTGATGAGGAATGGGTTGTAGCAAGGTTTGTAACCCAATCTCTCATCACTTTGTTAACAGGCATCCCTCCATGTCTTTGAACCAGTCTTGACAGGCATGACCTGAGTAGAGTGAAATTAGTAGCTTGATTGATTTACATCTCAAGTTGGGTACCTTGGCACCAAGCATCCTCATATGGAAAACATTTAGAGCTTGTCTCTGCACATCCTTGGAACCCATATAGATGATGCACTCCATCCTGAATCAGGCACACACAGTTGCAGCTGCCACACCATGTTGTCTGGCACCTGTTGCTGTAGTAATGCAAGTTTTGCTGAGGCATTTAGCTAGCAGGATCTTGGTTGACATTCAGCCTAAAACATTGAAAGGAACAGGCAAATGCACACCTGGCCAACTGCATTATTAATTTTATGTGACCCTGTATGGTTGCTGTAAAAGCATGAGATCAGACTGATTGAACTGCATGATTAGTGGACATGTACAGATCCTCTTGCTTCAGCCAAATCTGTGCACCATTGGAATACTTGGTCAAACCTTCTGCAAAATACTGTATAGCTTAGAAGGGTGGTTCATGTAACCATAGTGACTTTTGAAATCAGCCCAGAACATTGGATCATTCCATGTAGCATTGTGAGCCTCCTCTAACTCGATGAGACAGTTGAAAAGTGCTTCTAGTACATACCTGCCATCAAACTGGCAAAAACACAAGGAGAGAAGTGTCACTCCAGTCAGTCAAGAGGTATCCCAGCAACAACTGGGTAATGATATTGTGAACTTTGAACTCTAGCAGTGGACAAGTTGGAGGGTGATGATCCCTTGAGTCCTCTGCAGATGTTCTCAACTACCTGAGGAACTTGACCTGCTGGCAGTTCTTTGATAAGGGAGACTATGGGACTCCTGATGAAAACACCATCAGTTCCAGCTTCAACAACAGTGTCAAAGGGAACAATGTAGCAACTCCAAAACCCACTGTAAGGGGTATGGAAGTGTGCTTGTGGATACAAGCAATGATGTCAGGAAGCTCACTGTTCACAAATCCTTTGATAGAAGAGCCAGTCATTTCCATCTGGGAGATGCAGTATGCATATTCCAATCCAATATACAGGAAGAACTTACATGCAAGATGACATAAATGAAGGAATCTGCAATGGAAGCCAAGTGAGGAAGCCAGTGCAGGGACATTGATGGTGCTACAAGAGGGACATAGGACAGGCTACATGACTATCAATGAATTTTCTTTGGCCTTCATGATCTAATGGCATGTGCTAGACCCACTCCAGTGCTGGGCACTAGTGCACTGGCAGTGATTCAATAGGGTCACTCAAAGTTGAAACACATGAGCAAACTCAAGTGAGGTTGAGTTGTGAGTTCAGTGAGTTTGTGGGTTAAGTATTTAAGCCCTGACCATATATTAAACCTCCACAGGCAAGAGTGCATAGTGCAGAAATGGTAGAGAGGTAGACAATGCTATTGAAGCTCTGATTGGAAAGTAAAACTCTGCAGAAAATGCTTATCAATAGAGATATCTAGCATATCTTATTGTCTCAAACTCAATGGAGTGGGAATGACAACATGTTATATGCCTAGCTACTACATGACCATGTAGTGTGCATATACAGGGGGAGGAGGGGGATATGTTGTACAGTGTATATGGGGGGGGATATGTTGCACAGCATGTATATAAGCAGGGGGGAAGGGGGATACATTCTAGATGATGATAAGAATGTGGTCATAAACTGTTGTTGAGTTTGTGAACATCTTCATTAGTCAATGAAGGGCCTTGGTCCTCACCACCAGCTACACCCCTCTGCAGGGTTAGGTTCTGCCCCCAAAGCTCTTCCAACTTCACTGTGAGTTTCATCTTCTCTAGCTCCTGAGCTACCATAGCTTCCTCATGGGCATACTGCTCATGCTGCATTGTGAACTGGTGCTGGCATTCAGCCAGGTGGCTGTTGGCCTTCCCATTCTCCTTCCAGTAGCTGTACTGGAGATGGTGACATTTCACCTCTGACCTTTCTTGTTGTGCCTGTTGGAACTGCTGTACAAAACTCATTGAGGCAGATGTGAGATTTGAGGAGAGTCACTCAGCAGGCATTTCACAAGCATGCTTACAGGATGACTTTGATGACAGCTTTGAATCACTGTCATCTGAGAGCAGAGTGGTAGTGGGAGGGGAAGAAGATGAGAAATGGAGCATAGAAAACATGTTGGAGGATGCAATGTTGGAATCACTGACCTGGGTTTAAGAAGGGCTTGGTCCTGTTCAAGGGATGGATGTATGGGCTGGAGTTTTGGACAGGGGGATACAAATGGGAAGGGGGGATTGTCATTCAAGTTGATAGGATTGCCCTTGTTAAAAACAGAGGGGTGGAGGGACAGGATGGCAGGTGACCCAGGCATGGGGGACAGCAATGGGGCAAGTGACAAGTGCTCAGATGCAACAGGAGGAAGGGGAGATGGTGCGGGCTTTTGAGAAAAAAATGGGAGGGGGGATGGGGAGGCAAACATTGACTCAGAAAAAAATAGCACAGGCAAGGGAGCAGCAGATAGTGGTGATGATCTGAAGTGGGGGAGTGGTGGGGCTGCAGATGATGATGACCCCTGCTCAGAACAGAATGGGGGAGGGAGCAGTTGGATCATCAGCAATGGCATCTTGACATCCACACTCATCAAATCTTCTGCAAAAAAATGTCAGTAGTACCACTACCCTCTCCTATTTCACCTTCTTCGAGCTCAGGTGAATTTGGCACACCTGCTGAGGAAAAACTGGGATCCCCACCTAATGGGTCTGGCCACAGCTTGAACAGCTCAACCACATGCCTTGTGAATTTCTGCCCACTATCAGCTGCACTCCAGGTGCTATTGTAGGCATGGTTTGTGTGCCACCATCCATGCAATTCCCCCCACCATGGAAATTCCTTCTTGATCATTGCTGATAACAATAGTAAAGTGACAGATGTGAAAAAAAAAGTCTACATACTGATGGGATTTTTTGTGCTGCTGCTCTCTACCAGAGCCTTGTAGGTACATCCAGCACCAATCTGCCCAAGTAGCACATTCTGTTTTTGATACTTGGTTTTTAAACTGTAAAATTTTTAAGTGGTAGTTTTTTTATTTCAAAAAAAAAGCACTTACACTTCAAGTCGACTGCAGATAGGAGCAGCAAAGACAGACAGGTTGTCTCAAGCAAGGGCCTGAAATTTGGGTGTCTCATCACTGACTGAGAAGATTGCCTTCATGATCTCAACATATATGGCACCCTTCTCATGTCACAATTGGTGCTTGCTCCTACCTTCCTCCCAAGCATCTTGTGTAGAGTCTGAGAAGAGCTTCTTTTGTTCTGATTCATGGGTCCTGCACCACTTGATAAGATGATCAGTCATACAGCATAGGATTTCTCTTTCTCCCAGAGAACTTGAGGGACTGCTACTTTTGTTGCCAATTTGAAGGGTTGCACTGCTGGCAGGGGGGGACCAGAGGAATTGGACTCCATGGACAACAGGCTGTTGACAACAATCAAGGAGAGTGAAGCAGAGAGTGGTCAGAGTTGGAATTCTGCTGTCCTCAGCTGAAAACTCACATCAAGCACCTGACAAACACCTGACTCCACAGCTGAACCTCTGGCAACTTAGAGTTGCACTAATAGCATTGTAGTAGGGGAGGCAGGATAGGTGGGAGAAGTACAGCCACAGGATGATTAGTCAGCATGAAGGGAACATGGACAAGGGAGCATAACTAGATAGCATCAAATGTAACACATGGGCCATGGGGAACTGGATACACTACTTCATCTTGGTGATGAAAGTGGCATTGACCTAAGGACCAATGCTGAACACATAACCACACAGTACCACCATACTGACATTCCACACAAACACCATACCAACACTACAAGACAAACACAAGGCAACCACACAGCATACACATGCAGAGGATAAAAAAGCAGAAGCTAAGTAGCAAACCACAGGAGCACACCCCATACTACTGCCAACCTCCCTCACAGAAACCAACCATGCAACACACAGGGCCATTTTGTGTCCACACACATACCAGATATCACAGCAGCATGATCCCAAATAGGCACCCCATACACAAGCAACTACTCATTCCCATCAGGACATCAAATGCCAGACTACCAGTCCTCATCCCCTCATGAGTACATGCCAATATGTGGAATTCCCCTGACTGGAGAAAACTCCCCAGAAAATGCAGGTGAAGAGTTCTTCACTGCATTCCCCACAATAGTACTCCCCACACCACCAATCTCATCAGCAGCACAGATAACACACAGAGGAAGGTCAAACTCTGCCCCATCTAGCATACAAGAACCACTAGCACCCATTGTACCATCAGTAGCACCCCCAGCCAATACCATCAGTACCATCAGCACCACCAGTGCCCCCTCCATGTCCACAACCAATGGCAAAAGTTGTACTGCTCTTCTATGGGGACTGCACAGAAGCAGAAAACCCAGCCAACTTCCTCAAAGCATTTAACAGGAGTATGCTGTTCTTGAACCCCCTGGCAACTGACTTGCAGAAAATAATGGCCCTGGCCAACTACCTGGGGATGGGGTCACTAGCTGAAAAGTGGTATGGCAAGCTGACAGCAATGCAGTGCACAAACTGGGATGATCTCACAAAAGCAGTCAATGCTAGATGGCCACCAATCACAAGTGCAACACAAACATCAGAGGAATACCAATTGGAATTACTTGCACATCAACTGGATGAAGAAGATGTAGGAGTGATTACAACCATAGGATGATGGAAGGTGTGGTCACATGTAAAGTGTGCAGAGGAAGCCATGGGATTGGCAATGCTAGCAGGAATCAAAACAGGACAAATGTTCAAATGTTGGTATGGAAAGTCAAAAAACAACTACCAAAAGCCATCAGGAAGCTACTGGATGATGAATATGCAGACTGGGAGATGTTCATAAAAGATGTAAGAGAGCTGAACATGTTGAGACTCAAACAGGAACATGGGAGATAGATGAGTGTAAAAAGAGGGAGGAAGAATGAGACCAGAAGCTGCTACAGAGAATGGAAGCAGCAAAGAGTGCAACAATGGCAGACCTCACAGCACAACTCCAATGCCTCACAATAGGACAAGTTGCTGTGTCTCGCAACACCCCACAATCATCACCTTCAACAACTACCCCCACAATGAAGGGCAGAAGAAGTACTTGTTCCAGCTCACAACTTGGTCTGCAAAGCACAAAGAGATAACACAAGTCACCAAGCACACCCCATATCCCCTTAGACCAGGGATGGCAGCAGTATGCTCAGGAGAGTGCTTTTGCTGCAGGATCCACAGACATGAGCAGAGATTGCCCAACACCAGAAGGGGATGCATCCTGACTTCACCACAACAAGACAGTGTGGAAAGCCCTCTGCAACAGAACCTTAGGCCCCTTCAATAGGAGTAGCACATATAACATCAGATTGGTAGCCCTTGACATCCAGGGAAACAAGACAGGGTCATTGTGACAGACAGCATGATGACCTGTATGCTTGATGTACCTACAGTGAGGGACAAAAGTGTTGCAATGTTTGTGAGGTGTGACTTGCTGCCAATGTAGCTCAGGCTATTCTACACAGATAATCATGATACCTATACCATTGGAAAGGGGTGGCTCTAAGCTTGCCAGAGCACTAAGGTTCAGTCCAAACAAATCAATTCATGCTGAGATACACCCTATTCTTTCCAAAAAGTGCATTGCAATGCTTTTGTCCCTGACTGGTGAAATAGTGAAAAGTGACCTTTTGATGGGATTGAGGGCATGAAGGGTGGGAAAATATGATTACATAACAAACCACATGATCATCCAGATTCTCAAGGAATTCTTATCAAATACTGGTGGCCACCACAGTGCCATCAGTATAACATGCTCTCAGAACCATCAGTCCTTTAAAAAACCTGTTGTCAGTCATTTCCTGGACTGTTTCCCCCCATGCCTGATGTGGTCTGGGACTAATCAGTACTTGGAAGGCTGAAAATGTTATGGAGGTCAATCTGGCACTTCAGAACAACATGATGTACAAACCAGTCCCCTCTCAACCAATGCATTTCTGGCACAGGGACAGTGGTATGGAAGTTGGGTTGAGACAAAACCTCCTTGTGCTCTAAGCACCATATGAGGGTTTACTAGATCTTGCTCTGATCTGAACTGTAGATGACCAGGGAAGGATTATTTGGTCATATGTGATCAAAGGCAATATTCAGGGCCAGATGGAAGCACAGGATTCTGCTCCATGGCAGTTCAGTAGCATATCCTTCTGATGACACCCAGGGTAAAGAGGATTTTTTCTTGCCTAACTTCCATACCACTGTCCCTGTGCCAGAAATGCATTGGTTGAGAGGGGACTGGTTTGTCCATCATGTTCTGAAGTGCCAGATTGACCTCCAAAACATTCTCAGCCTTCCAAGTTCTGATTAGTCCCAGAACACATCAGGCATGGGGGGGAAACAGTCCAGGGAATGACTGACAGCAGGTTTTTTAAAGGACTGATGGTTCTGAGAGCATGTTATACTGATGGCACTGTGGTGGCCACCAGTATTTGATAAGAATTCCTTGAGAATCTGGATGATCATGTGGTTTGTTATGTAATCATATTTTCCCACCCTTCATGCCCTCAATCCCATCAAAAGGTCACTTTTCACTATTTCACCAGTCAGGGACAAAAGCATTGCAATGCACTTTTTGGAAAGAATAGGGTGTAACTTGGCATGTATTGCTTTGTTTTGACTGAACCTTAGTGCTCTGGAAGGCTTGGAGTCACCCCTTTCCATTGGTACAGGTATCATGATTATTTGTGCAGAATATCCCAAGCTACATCAGCAACAAGTCACACCTCACAAACATTGCAATGCTTTTGTTGCTTACTGTATTTGAGCATTCACTGCTGCTGAGGACTGGCCTTACATGAGGAACTACAAGGGCTACCTGTCTCAAAATTGTCTCTTCATGTCAAGTCCAGGCCTACTCCAACCAACTCTGACACTAGACAAGGTCTGGGGAGAGGTTTGGAAGCAAGTCTGACAGAAAGAACTGAACTCCAACTGGTGGAGTGTTGGCAGGAATGAAGTCCACTGAGATAAAGGTGGAGAAGAGTGAGGGCATTGGGTTTAACTCATGTGCTACCCCCTTGCATGATCTCAGCCCTTGTATTTCAGAGGGAGAGTACAGATGGACAGTTGGAGGTAACTCTGACAGACAGAAGATGGAGACAGAGGGAGTAGGAACTAAGTCAATATTCGTACTGAAGAACAGCAGAGTATGATACATGCTTTTATACTACTACAGAGGTACAGTAATCAGAATCAGAACTGACATATGGAGACTTGTAAAACTTCCTAGATGACAAATGAAGGGAAGATGGAGGACATGTGAACAGGTAACACAGAACATCCCCAAGAGGAAACAGTCCAGGTGCTGGACCATGCAGTGCATGTGCTGCAGAGTACCTGATCATGCACTGTCAGGGAGAAGTCTGAAGGGTAGTCACATGACTCCTCAGGGGACAGCCCACATGGTCCAGTAGGAGAGCAGTACAAGTCTGACAGCAGTCAGAGTGGAGATGACTTGTAAATGTCAGGGGATGGGCAGAGTTGGTGTGGAGTGAGCAAATGACTGGCAGAGAAGGGGTGTGGAGTGAGTGAGGACCTAAGACAAATGCATGGTCATGACACTTCACATATGCCCTCACTGGCTTTGGTGGGTCAACTGCAGATGCAGGGTTTGGGACCTGTGATGCACTTCTGGTTCCCTATCAAGGTGTTTGTTACCATCTGAAAGCATGGCACCAGCCTGGATTAAGGTAAGTTGCTATTCCATCCTGCCCAGTGCACCTGTAACTTCTAATTTATAGACCTCAAATCCAAGAGGAGGAGTTATTCAACTTTTGCCATGCTGGACTTAGAAATGCTGTTGAATGGATATTTGGTGTTATAAAATGCAGGTGGAGGATTCTTCAAATTCCCCCTGAATATAGCATCCACACCCAAACACAAGTACCTGCTGCTCTCTGTGCCCTCCACAATTTTATATGGCACTATGATCCAGAAGGGTTCTTTGACCCTGACCTTGCCATGGACATAGGAGAGGATGATGGTATTGGAAGCCTTGGTGATGGACCAGCAGATGCTGCAGAGAGGAGAAGGGCTGATAATAGGTGTGACAACATTGCAGAGGAGATGTAGATTGACTATC